AAAAACCCCAGCTTCACCTGTTCCCCCCCCCCCCCAGCCATAACACAAGATGCCCTTGCCACCTCACTTTCCCCATCCCTTGTCTCCTTGTCCCCAATCAGGACAAGTCCCTTGCATGAAGGAGTCAGAATAGAATCACTCACCACTGGGCCATAGAGTAATTTCCCCTTCCCTAAATGTTCATGGGGGTTGGGCTGAGCATCTCTCCTCTCTGCTAGGGCCTCCCTCTGATCACAGCCCTAGTCCCACATGACTGGAGAGAGAAGAAGAGGGCTGGGAATAGGAGGGGTCATTCAATTAAGAGGACAAGGAACTCCTGGCCTGCAGAGGTCAGAGAGGCAAAGGGACTTGTTCAAAGTCGTGCACTTACATAATCAAATAAACAGTAATAGCTAACCCTCCTGTTGAGGGCTGCCTAAGTGCCAGGTGCTTCTACAAGTACTTTATAGGTGTTAACTCTTTTCATACTTATAATAGCTCATGAAGAAGGTACCATTGTTATCTCCAACTTACAGATGAAGAAATAGAGTCACAGGAGCCAAAAATAGTTGCCAAAGGCTAGCGGTCAGTATAGTTAAACCCTGAGGTTCTAAAGCCAGACTATGGTGTGGTCAATAGCCACACCCTCTCTTAAAGGCAAGAGACAGAAGGATCCATCTTCCCCACCCCCCTTCTTTCCCTTCCTCTCTCCCCTACCCTTTTCCCTTCCTCTCCCCACTATCCTCTTCCCTTCCCCTTCCCTTATTTCCCCCTCCCCTCACTCTCTCCTCTCCTTCTCTTTCCCCCTCCTCCCCTCAGAGTTTTCCACCTCTCTGTAGTTGAACTTCTCTTTGCATCCAGGCTCATGATTGCAAACGATCCAATCAGAAAGAAGCATGTACAGGACTGGCCCAATTAGAAGCAAAGAGCTTGGAAATCAGGGACCAATCGGAGAGGGCAACTCAAAGGGGCAGTCCAATGCACAGTGGCTATGATTGGGATTGTGGGAGGACCAATCAGAGAGGGCATAACCAAGTACGCTAGCCATTGGAGTCAGCACAGTGGGGCGTGGCTTTGGGCTTGGGACGATCCCTTAGAGGCTCTGTACAAACAAGGCACCGCCTCCTCTTGTTTCTCCATCCTACCTTCTGAGTTCCCACAGATCCATTGAATCTGTATTTTAGGCTTTCTCTCCTAACCCTGAAAGTCAGCAAGGTGATGAGGGCTGATGTTGAAGAGGCAGAGACGTTAGGGCAAAGTTGAAAGTGGAATTTATGACTAGCCACGCTAGGCTCAGTTAGTGTGCTGTGGGGGTGGAGGCTGGGGTGGACCTGTGGGGCTCGAGCTGAAGGGGTGGGGCCTAGGCTTGTGGGCGGAGCCTAGGCTGAGACCGTCTGAATGTTCCGTGCTTTGGGGTGGTCTCTGAGGTCCTGGTGTGGGGCTTGGGCTGAATGGGCTTTGCTTGGGTCAGATAGAGCTGGAGCTTTTGTTTGGGGTCATACGTTGGAGCGGGGCTTAAATTGTCGAGGAATAGGATTAGTTGTGGGTTTGTGTTAGAAGGTGTGGGGCAGAAATCAGGGCTCTGAGCTGGGGGAAAAAAATTACACTGTTTCCACCTGTTGCCCTCTCAGGCCAACTCACATTTTGAACCTAATGGGATGGACATTCCTCAGCCCCTGGGATATACCCCTTTTCGTTTATTCCTTACTGCAGTCCTTGAAGTGATTCTGCAAAAGGCCTAGCTCCCTAGCCCCCTCCCAAGATGAGCTCAAGAACGTATATTTACTGAGTGCCTGTGGGTGTAAATCCCTCTTCAGGCGCTGGACAGAATGGGTGCCACTCCCCTCAGGAGATTGATATTTCAATGACTAAAAGAGAAACAAGGGAGAAATAGGTAAACAGAGAAGTAAACAAATAAGAGCCTTATGAGGAGTGATTAGTGCTATGAGGCAAGTAAAATGAAGGAATGTGTTAGTAGAAATGATGGGACCCAGGGTCGGCGATGGCAACGTGGTTCCGGCAGCTGAATCCTACATGGGTGACTGTGCAGTTGCAGTCCTAGACCCAATGGCTTGAGAAACATGTCAGGCGCATGTGCATGTCTCAAATCCTGGAAGGAGAAATAAAAGAAAGGATTGTGGCATGGCCATTTCCCATGGGGGTGCTTTCTCACTTTCCCTCTCTCTCTTTCTGTCCCTCTGGTGAGTGCACATGCCCTCCGGCAAATAAAAAAGCAAAAAAAAAAAAAAAAAAAAAGGGACAGAAAGAAAGAAAAAAGGAAAGTAATGATGAGGATCCCATGTTGGTGGCACAGTCCATAGCCAAAGTGCAGTACTGGGAGCCTCTTGGCCAGTCGCAGGTTAGGGTTGCCAGTCCTGAAACACACAAGACTGCCAACACCACACCCAACAAGCTGGAGGGCTGGGGGAAAGGGATTGGGGCATGATCAGACCTTATCTAGGGTGTCCCCCTAACTCTCTTGAGTGCGGGTACTCTTGCTCATGAATAAAATACATAAACTTAAAAAAAGAGTCCTGCCCTCTTCTTCCCAAGATTTATTATGAAAAATGTCAAACATACAACAAAGTTGACATAATTTTACAATGAACAGCCCCATACCCACCACCTAGGTTTTTTTTTTTTTTTTCTTCTTTTTTGGAGAGGTTTTCCCTATAGGGGAC